ATTTCCAGATGGATTTCAGGTTGATGGATATGTTTCTCGCCTTCCCGAGTCTCACTCAATTTGACATCCTCTTCTGTTCCACCTCTAGTTGAGACAATGCTCCCTAGATAAGTGAATGAAGTAACCTCTTTCAAATCCCTCCCGTTGATGGTGGTTGGCGGAGGATGTTTCTGCTGTTGTTGTTGGCTGATTATTTTCATAACCTCCGTCTTGTCTATGTTTACCTGGAGACCTGTCTTTGCTGCTTCTTCGACCAGTTTGTCACTTCGTTTTCGCTTGTAAGTCTACGATTTTGTGTGACATCAAACGTAAATCATCCGTGAAATCCAGGTCCTCTAAGTTCTTCACGTTGAACCAAGATATTCCTGTCTGCTAGTTTCAAACTGTCTGACGCATAATCCAGTCCACCACAATTAGGAATATCATTGGTGATAATAAGCCAGCACCCTTGTTTGACTCCTGAGTTTACTTCAAACGCCTCGCTGAGTTTTCCGTTGTGGATCACTTGACATGTTCCGTTGTCGTACAGCTATTGAATAAGGTTGATGAATATTTGGGGTACGCCATAGTACTCGAGTAGTTTCCAAAATACTTCACGATCAAAGGTGTCGAAGGCCTTCTCAAAGTCCATAAAGTTGAGATAGAGGTTTGATAGCCATTCCTTGTTTTGTTCATTGATGATGTGTAGAGTTGCAACTTGGTCAGAACATGATTTGCCTTTCCTGAATCCAGCTTGTTCTGGTCAGAGTTCTGTATCCAGTGCGTCCTTTAATCTCTCCAGGATGATACGACTCAGGATTTTACTTGGCGTCGACAGGACCATGATTCCTCGCCAGATCTTGGAGAGTCCTAAGTCGCCCTTCTTTGGTAGTTTCACGCGATAACCTTACCTCCAGTCAGTGGGCGCCTTTCTTTCCTTCCAAACCTTTGGCAATAATGGAGTCAGCATGTCTGCTGTAATCTCTTGGTCCGCTTTCAGTGCTTCAAGGGGTATTCCATCTGGTCCAGCAGCTTCTCCAGCTTTCAGAAGCTTAACTGCATTCAAGACTTCAGCTCTCGTTGGAGGATTGTTGTCAACTTGCATATGTGTCTGCGCTGTTGTTGGTATTTTTGGACGGGTTGCAGGTGATGGTAGGTTCAAAAGTCCTTTGAAGTGCTCCACCCATTGTTTAATCTGTTTTTCTTCCTAGGTAATTGGGTTCCCTTGGCTGTCTCTTATACGTTTCACTTGTGTTGATCTCTTCCCGGATAGAGAAATGGTTATAGTGTCCTGATAAAATGTCCTCAGGTCCCTTTTGCCTGCTGCCTTCTCAGCTTCAGTGGCCAGGTTGTCGAAGAATCGTCTTTCGTCCTTCTTAGCACTCTTCTTCACTTCTTTGTCCAGTGCTGTGTAATTTGAGCTCAGTGTCTCCTTCTCCTGTCCGTCCTTGCATTGAATCATTTCCTCTTTCACCATTCTCCTCTCTTCTATTAGTTTCCAAGTGTCCGTTGAGAGCCATTCCTTGTCTTGTCTCTTATTTCTTCCTAGAACCGTTGAACACGTTTCGTTGAGAATCGCCATCAGAGAGTTCCAGTGTTCTTCCCCGCATGACTCTTCAGTGACGTCGCGTAGTGTTTCCTGCTTTGCTCTGACAGTTGCAGTGAGAGGGTCCTTTGTGTTTGTGTCCTTCAGTAATTGAGTGTTGAACTTGCATTGTGGCCTATCCCCAGCTATCCTCGAGGCTTTTATTTTCACCTTGAAAGTCCCTTGTACTAGATAGTGGTCTGAACCCAAATCTGCTACTCTCCTCGAATTTGTGTCCAGTAGGCTCCGTTTCCACTTTCTTGAAATTCAGATGAAGTCTTTTTGGTTTTTGATGTTTCCATCTGGTGAAATCCATGTCGTCTTGTGTATATCCTTGTGTTTTAACACACTACCGCCAATCACCAAATCATTGAAGGCGCAGAAGTCTGAGAAGAGTTCACCATTGTCGTTCATTTCGATGAGGGCCTCACGATTCATGGCGAGTTCTCTTCCTGTGTAATCTCTTCCCAGCTTCGCATTCATGTCGCCCATCAGGATTTTGATATCGCCATTTGGTGCGTTGTCCATTATTGCCTGTATTTGTCTGTAGAACGCCTCCTTCTTCTCTTGTTCTGAGACGTTTGTAGACGCATAGCATTGAATGACTGTAACTTTCCTTCTTTTGAGTTGAACCTGGCTGTCATTATCCTGGAGGAGATTGGTTCCCAATGCATGAGAGCTTTGGCTGCTGTTGGTAACATCATGATGGCCAGTCCCTCGGTGTGCTCATGGTTGTCCTCTGGGCGACCGGAATAGATTATTATCTTCACAGTTGGTAGTTGGCACCTGTTCCGTTCCATCTGCTTTCGCAGATTCCCAACACTTCTATTCTGTACCTTCTTATTTCAGCGGCTATCTGGGCAGCCTTTCCAGTTTCGTACGTTGTACGAACATTCCAGGTACCCATCCTTACTTTTGCTTTCATTGAAATAAAGCACATCGGCTGACTGGCTTCCCGAAGGCTTTCACCAGCCTGCGTCATTTCGGTTCTCCGATTCCGGCAAAAAATAAGGTTACTGTTTATAGTTTTAGAATTTTTAATATATTTATTCGTTGAAGTTTCTGTAGCGATTTAATTGTTGTCTTTTTTTCTTTATTTATGTGATAGCAAAACTTGACAAATTCTGTAGGAAATCTTTGTGATCATCTGTGTGTATAGCGTTTAGACTTGATCTATATGTAACTGACGCCAAATGAATGTTTGCATTTCTATTATTCCATTACAAGCTGAATACATGTGAAAACAAAAATTATCGCCGTAGAGAATTTTATAGAAATCATTCAATTTTGTGACTGGAAGAGAACAACTGTCGACATAAGTTTTATCCATGAATTTCAGACACCTATATTTTGTGAGCGTAAAGCACTTAACTGAAGAAACATTATTCATAGAAATCGTCAGTACTTTGCTAGTTACTGGAAGATAGAATAAGCTTAGCGTGACTAGAGCTGCAATAATTGAACCTCATTATTTTTGAATTAAAGTTAAAGGGATGAAAATTCGACGAATTCGAGGACTGTAATTGCTGTTGTTAGATTCGTATTCCTGCGACCATCAAACACTTCGTTTCTTTTCATTCATGTTTTTTCTGAATATAAATGATTCAGTTATAACTGTAAACCCTAGCCACAGTAATATTCATTTTAAAATCCTCTCACCGAAATTCTTCAATGCTCGTCACAAAGTCATATAAACATCTCCGTCATAGATAGTAGAATCATGTGTAACCTGAGACAATGTCTGTGTCTGATATTTCAGTAGAATGTTGAAAAGTCGACTTTGATATCACTTAAAACATCCTGACATCCTTGATTATGGTAGACTTTCAATCTGAAATACATGAAATATATCAGAAATTTCTATTATTTAATGGCAAGGTGGCTTACGGACAACCGTAACTATAAGAATGATAAACTACCTAAATAGTGCGTCAACTTTATCAGTTCTCCTAATATCTTCATGCCGAAGCACGTATAGACGTTTACATAACTCTTTGCGAGCACGTAGGAAGCGAGTTATCCTACTATGGATTTGCAAAAAATTCTGAGACGTCTGTGTGTAGTCCGTTAAGTCTGAAGTTAAGTGGAAAGGAAATTCAGGAGCAGTCCTACCGATTTAACTTCCATATTCCAAATAAACTTATTCCCGAGAACATATTTACTAAGCTGAATAATTTGAATATAGTTACTGTGGACAAAAAACTCTTGTTAAAATCTACATTGATTGTTGTTTCAAAACAACCTCTCACTTCAGAGAACTCATATTACGAAATTCTTTCTGTAAAACAACAAAGATTACTGGTCCTCCTGGTAAAAGCATGACTGAGAAAATTGATGAATTCCAGAGTTTGGTATTGATAGACTGACACAATGGTGAAGCCCCTTTTAAAAGCCTAATTGAAATATGAAGGGGGGGAATTCAACAAAAATACATCAGAATAGAATTCCATAAGAGATTCACACAGCTGCATGTATTATGTAGACAGCTGTCTATCAAGACATGCAACTTTAACTATTAGACATGACGTGTGCAACTTATACAGTAGCACTAGGTGGAGTTTATATATTCTCATGCGTAAAACAGTTATTCATTGGATTATTCTGCTCTATCTGCACATAAGATCTACTTAAGCGACTAATGACATACTTCTGTCGAGAATCATTGAAGTCCATAAGAATTCACAATTGCTTTCTAAATAGTTTATAAAGTGCGTAATTCGTATGTTCTGAAACTTCTTATGACTAAATAGAAGCAAGAATTTCACTATGTGATGAAAGATGCGAAAACATGTTTCACTCCTATGAAAAACTGTGCATATTCATCTCTCTGATGTGTCGTTTTCGCAGTGTGGTGATAGTCGATACAAAAGCTTTTTCTCATCAAATAAAAACAGAAGCACACTTGTTGTATACTGCATCATTTGTTAAATACTGTTTATCTAAATGTTTTTAAGGTGAAATTTGTATAAATCAAGTTTTATTGTCTTTTTATCAACAGGTTGAACTCAAATTACTGTTTTCTTGGTAAGAGATCACAGCTACCCATCACTTACCTGGCACCATATATCTCATCAACTTGTACTATGAGTGGATGCCTTTAAAACCACATATCGTCATTTAACACAAAATACGAAATTTGATTTAGATGTAGGAAATAAGGCATATAAACACTTCCTTGTGCCTACTTCAGGTTAACCCTATCGCTGTGTATTTAAAAGAAATACGTGTAAAACAAATCCATAAACATCATTAAGCACCAATTAACAAAGTAGAAACAAAATAGAAGCATTCATATTGTGATTGCAAGTTTATCATTAGGTACGAGTCCTAAAGCATCCTCAACTAGAGAACTGTTAATCAGAGGAAAGAGTGTTACAGACATTTTGTGTGTCTGTCTTGTGCATGTGTTTCACTTTTAAACCAATAGCAATTTCACATGTCTAAATTATTGGGTTGTGTATGTTTATTATGCATATGAGAATACGAATGTTTAATGCAAGCCAATAAGAAGCCAGATTATTCTCAATATATAAATGCTACATATTAAATTTATGCGTTAATCATACATTTTGTCGGCGGAAATATGCTCAGCAAAGTTTGGTTGACCATCATATCAGCAATTGTATTGTGTAAGTAGTTCCTGAATTCGATTATGAGTTAATTGATATTATCCAAAATACAAAATCTCTGAGGTAAATTCCACGAACTGAGAAAACCGAATTTTACAAATTCACGACCTAATCTTCGACTCCATAACAAAATGTTTTGATCATTCAACACATATCAATTTATTTCAGATATCATGTGTCTACCACAGTGTGAATCATCATTCCTCTGGGAGCTTTTCTGTAAGTTGTGTTCAGTCACTTTGAAATTTATGAGTAGTTACCGTTTTCATTGATTGAAACATGTGAGTATCCTTGCTGATGTTTTCAAAATGAGCTATAGAGATTTTCATTTTCAATATCTACAGTGTCAGATTACGGTACCTATTCACAGAATTATTTCTTATGATTATTACATGCCCAAATGCTACTTAACATAGACACTGTGACTGGGTATGAGACATCTGAACAATACGCGAAATTGAAAGTGTTATTATATATGTCCAAACCAAGTTCACTTTTAACGGTTTGAAAAAATTTGGGCATTGAGTATATGGATATTCATTATAGTAAAGGTTTTTGTATTTCCCATTGAATGAAAAACAAAACGATATTGCTGTTTTTACTGACGTTTCGCTATTTAATGCTAATAGCTTTCTCAATGTATTATTAAACCGAAATTTACAAAATCTCAGCATATATATTACAACGAGTTAGGGGGTGAGAAAAATATAGACTTAGTTCAACTTAAAAGGACATATTGAAAGTCGAAATAACTATGGAGATCGTTCAAACCAAATATTAAAGGTAATAGTATATCTATTATTATATCAAAACAAAGTTTACTAACTTGATCATTGTTCGTTTCTCTGGGATCATTTTTCGCTGTCAAGTTGGCGAATTGGTAAAGATAACAAAATCAAGTGTATATTGTTGGATTTGATCAGTGTGTGAAACTATAAAAGTAATGTGTGTTTACATAGTGAACTTGCCTATCACATTCGTCTTGATTTTGTCACTTCGTTGGGGAGGGAGGGATGTGTTGTAACCAGGTCAGATTTTGTTTTAGTCCATCATTCCTATTCAGGCAATTTGGATTCTACTTGATATGAAGTGCTTCTGATATTAGACGTTCTTTGTGGTTTCTGAAGTTTTTCTGGATTATTTCAATATTGTCAAAATCAGTTTAGTGGCCTGATTCTATAGCATGTAGAATTATGGCTTATGATTTTTTAAGTTTTTCCAGTTCAGTTGGATTTCTTGGTGGTCGAAGAGATGCCCAACGGTGTTCATTTCTTCTGTATGTTGATTTCTCGAGATGGTTGTCTGATGTAGATCACATCAGATTCCGAGCATTTTATTTTATAGACGCAATTAGATAGAGAATCTTTAGGGATTTCGTCTTTTATATGAACAAGGTTGTTTTGAAGTGTGTCCGATGTTTTGAAGAAAACTCTAATGTTGGGCTGACTGAGTACTCTTCTGATATCGTCTGACGTCTCTGCTCTATATGGAATGACGACTGTTGAAGTCCATGTTTTCGGAATGCATTTTTGGCCATACTTAAGCAAGTTCACTATGTAAACACACACTACTTTCATAATTCTACACACTGATAAAATCCAACAATCTACACTTGATTTTGTTATCTTTACAAAATTCGCCAACAGGGCAACACAAATGACCTCATACTGACGAACGATAATCAAGTATTTCACATGCTACACTTAGTTTGGTTATCTTTACCAATTCGCCAACTTGACAGCGAAAAATGATCCCAGAGAAACGAACAATGATCAAGTTAGTAAACTTTGTTTTGATATAATAACAGATGTACTATTACCTTTAATATTTGGTTTGAACGATCTCCATAGTTATTTCGACTTTCAATATGTCCTTTTAAGTTGAACTAAGTCTATATTTTTCTCACCCCCTAACTCGTTGTAATATATATGCTGAGATTTTGTAAATTTCGGTTTAATAATACATTGAGAAAGCTATTAGCATTAAATAGCGAAACGTCAGTAAAAACAGCAATATCGTTTTGTTTTTCATTCAATGGGAAATACAAAACCTCTCTTATAATGAAACCGTTATTCTTAATAAACTCCTAATTGAGCAATTTTTAAACAATCATAAATTTTTCAATTGATTTTGTGGAAATCTTCTTCGCCTAATAATCCTCCTGATTTAACATTTTAGTGTCTTCTGACATTGTGCTTAATCAGAGCTAGGTGAACTTGTAAATGAGAATTAAAAACGTGGGATTAAATAGAAGATAGTTTATTTGAAATTTGGTGATATCAAACGGGAATTTATGTGAAAATTAGTTCGTATGGAAGTGCATTAGTTGCGCTAAAGACTGAGTGTCAACTAACTCATTGCATGTACAAGTTTTGTATCTTCCGCAAACGAAATGAAATTTTATCTTTCTATGTCATTAATTTATTCATTACACAGGTCATTGGTTTAAACACTGGTGCACCGGTATGTGTCTGCATGCTTTTAGCTAACTACATTCTTATATCATTGTAAGTTTGGTGGATAATGTCACCGATAATGTGCTCGGTTGGTTGGATGGTTTTATTCCTAAGCTTTCATTGTCTAGTACGTTGACAGGCTGAGTACTGATTTAAATACAAATCGTTGTATTTCTGTAGTAACAGATGAGACATTAGTAGAAAACTTATTTCATGCTCTAAAATACATTCTGCGAATGATTCAAACTACAAGTTTATGTGAAAATCACCTAATATCCAAGTACAGGTTTAGGCTGTTTCTCTATTACACACACTTTTAAAGAAATGTGTAACTACCCTGTCGATTCGGTGAATACCGTGAAAAGAAGGTTAGGCTAGCACATGAGTCTGGAAAGTCAGTGGGTCGAGACATGATGTCGAATGTTGGACACTTCTTGTTTGAGATATCTCATCAGCGATCTTTCTGTTATGTCTGAATCATCACACAAGCGACATCAAAAATTATCCTTCTAAATAATTACCTGATCGTTTTATTCATCTCCTAGCCTTGCTTTTGACATGCTTACATACCATATATTTTACACATTTCAATAAATTTAATAGAATGTTTCATAATGAGCACGAGTGAGTAACAATAAACCTGAGAAACAATGTACTGTTTTGCCTGAATTTTAGAGGATGCAAAAGAAGCTGTGGTAAGCATTCTCGCATGATAATATCAGTAAAATTAAATGCTAGTAATCGATTATCTGTGACAAATCACAATGAGCAATCTTCACGCGATATATCGGCAGCAAACTACAGACAGCTGAATATAAACAAAAAAGCTTCAAAATCAAACGACTGACTGAAATAGCAGATCTTTACAACACCCAAAGTACTGAGTATTGTCTTATTCAGTTAATTATGACGTTTTGTTCATTTGCAAGACTTAACTATAACTTCCCAGTAATCTCGTACATCGGACTTCAAACTCACTATCATCCCAATGAAGAATAAAATTAGTTATTTTTCGATAAGTCTCACAGCCGGTAGACAACGTCGTAAAGTGCAATTATATTCTTACGCCGTTTCTATGTTTAACGTCCTAATAAAAATTATAAATATGAGGATAATTGTTTACCGATAATAATACTCGTGAAATAAATATATCTATTTGAATTTCAATAAGTTTGAACATAATAGAATATAACGTAAATGCACTTTAATTTCTTATATGATAGGACACTGTTTTGAAGGCTGTTGTAAGTTCACAAAATTACAGATATGAATTATATACTGGAAACACTTGTGCGCTAACGGATGATATTTTTGTACGGTAATTTAGTTGGTATAACTATTCCAACAGTATTCTCTTGAGCAGCACTTTTGTAAGAGTGAGCCTATTGTCATTAGGTAATAAAAAAGGTTATTGTTTCTGTATTCTTGATCAAAAACACAAAAGCCGTCCGTTACGTTCTTCTTTAAGGGTTGTTGAACTTTTCCGAACAAAGGTCAATTTAGAATCATATATCATCCACATCTAAAAACGCTTCAGCCTGATAAAATCTGTGGTACTATTCTACAATAATAACTGCCAAACAGTGCCACCAGGGGGCAAACAGTTTAAAAACATGCCATGTACAAAAATGAGCATTGTGAAAAAGTAAAAATATTCTCAACACGATGGGATAGAAATCGCGTCTGTATGAATGAAAGGGTTTGAGCGCCCTGTTCCGCAGGCACTTCGAAGTTGAGCAGTCATTACACATATTGATCATTAGCTTCACATAAGATAAATAACACCGTCACTCAGCAGTAAGAGGAAACATTCAGAATAAGGACCAACTCAACAAGAAGGCAAGTGACTAGGATTTAGTTAAAAAATGGAAGCAAATAATACAAGGAATGTACAGCGGATAAGGGTAAACCACGAGAATAACGAAATAGTTGATTAGTCTGAGTATTGTAAATAGATTTTTCATGGAGAGACTTTTAGTTTGTTGATTCTACTACATACATTAACACATATCCCTGTTGGTAGCTGCCGTTAACTGTCACAGTACTCATAACACATTCCGAAGTGCTTAAATGACTTCCAGATATTCTTGAGCATAGGACTTACGGATTTTTATCATTCATAAATTCTGAAGTGTGCAACTTCCTCGTTCATTGACTTCGGTTTCAAAATTTTTGTCGGCTTATCAAAAGTTTGGAAACACTTTTGAAAACCCTAAATGAGACGTTTTCATCTGAAATGATTTCGCTTGATCACTCGTCATGAAAACATTGATTTAAACTTCATACACTCATGCATATAATGACAGAGGCACTTGCATCGAATATTTGTGTTTCTGAAAACCATTTTTAGAAAATTTCCTTCTACTTGTATGTTTGACTGACAATGGATATATGTTTATATGATAATTATTCCACTTGAACTTCCCACACCTGAACAATATCCTGGTAAACAGCTCACAGTATGAGCGCTTTTTAGAGATTACAAGTAATAAATTATTAATATGATGACATTTTACACGAGAATGGATTTATATTCGTAGATCCTTCAGATCTACAACTAGTAAAAATGAGATTATGTTGGTGTTTATTGTACTCTGAACATAATTTCAAAGAAAGTTTTCTGTGTCTTGCTGATGTTTGAACCTGAGAGATTGTTAAATATGGGTTTGGTGATTTCTGATTCTTATTTCTTTAATAGGTAAATTATCTGGTTTCTTTTTCTGTTTTTATATTATTTGATCAAGAAATGAATTGTTGAATGGCAATCGCTAACCTAATAATAATCTTATCAAAGCTTGGAGATTTCGATATTGTTTATGCTATAGCTGAAATGCATTGACTACTTCAGCTAGTCTATTTGGAATTGAATATCGGTTAAATGTGTTTTATTGATTATTTATTTCGTAGGGTGGAGATGGGTCGAGCTCTGTAAGTCATTATTATTTAAAACAGTTTTGCTATTGCCATGAGCGTTCTCGGCTTGTTTTGTGAAATCACTCTCTCGAAGGATATCCACCTGAACATAGAACAATGATGATCAAAACAAGTGATTCAACCAAGAGACTGATTTCAACGAATTTATTATCAAGCCATTCAATCGTATTCAAATATATATATATATATATATATATATAATTTAAGGAAATTATATCCGGTGAGGGAACTTTGAACTGTTTTCGGTATTTTTCGCTTGTTCCACTTTACATTTCTAAATCAATTCTGTTTTGTTACGTTAAATTCTATGTTATCAAATTTCACACAGTATTACGCAACGCTTTTATTTGATTTGTCTACTAATCCTATCATTTCACGTCACTTCCAAGTTTTATACATTCTATGAATTATTATATGTATATATATATGACATTAATTGTTTTGCCACTTGATGTTTAATTATGAATATAATCACAAATATTTTAATTGTATTTCTTGCATTAACACCTATGATTCAATTCCTTAACCGGATATAACTATTTAGAAACTATATATATATATATATATATATACAACTGTACAGCTTGAGAATAAATTCATTGATAAGAGTCTCTTCTCTGAATCATTAGTTTTCATTTTCTATAGCATATTTACACCAAGAGGCCGAGATGACATGATACAGATAATTTTAAGTAGTGGTGAATACAAATTAAAGCGATTATTCGTAAAGAAACCATATTCGTGCTGATTTCAATTCCAAACACATTGATCGCTTGAATTAGTTTCTTTGATGACTTACTGAATATTCTTTCACTTTATGATGTCCAACACTTTAAAGATATTAATATCAGTAAAACTTGTTACGTTAATGGCCTGTTTAATAGAAGGTTGGTACTCCGACCCTCGTAAGTCATTGTTCGAATTTGTTCAAGTATTCGTTTTAAGCTGTTTAAAATTAAAATCTAACATCCTCAATCCAGCTCACTCTTCGGAAGACTCAGAGTGAAGAGCTAGTCGGAGATGTCTTTGTGTTACAATGATTACAGTTACTAACTACTCACTCTGTAATGCATCCATATTTATGTTGAATTATGAGTGATTTCAGTAACCTCAGAAAGTAGTCACGTCAATGTTAACATACTTTCTGTCTTGACGCTAAGAGACATTGACCAACGGCCTTATTACCGATTTCTGATGAAAATCTTTTGACTGATACGAAAATTAACAACATCCTTACTTGATAGTAATGGAGGAAATCTCCTTAGGAGATGTAATACAATGACGACATTATTATTTATTACAGGATTTCATTATAACCTGACATCTCTTAGAGAACCACTGGAAAACCTCGGAGTACTGGACAGCTGTTTCATCCTAGTTTGAGACTCTTCAGCAGTGTGCGCTCACCAGGGTTCAAACCTAGGAGCTTCTGGTTACAAGGCGACCTCGTAGATAATTAGGCCACTGGGACCCGATCCAATGGTCCATGAATTCTTACATCTGCCAATTCACCATATAGCGCGACCACTAGCAACGGCGACGGTTTGTCCTCACTCCTGACTCACTGCACCTTACTGGTCACGAATTCCCACTATAACCCCAGCGTACTGCTGACGAGTCACAAATCAGGACAAAACAGCTGTCCAGTACTCCCAGGTTTTTCAATGGTTCTCTTACAAATGTCAGCTCATGATGAAATCCTGTAAACCAACCAAATCCCTACAAACCAATACTTGAATAATAATTTATGTTCCAGTATTTACAAGAGACTCACATTTTAAATAAAACTGTTGAACGATTCATTTAATTGAGGCAAGTTTGCATTTTACATTCGACAAAAAATTCTGATTATTGCCTTTACTTCACCAATTGTTCACCTGATTGCGGACGGTGTTTTACCATGAGCAAATCTTATTGGTTAGTTGTTTGGCTGTCTTTACTGCTAGGCCCTTGTTCAGACTGTCTGCCCTTTTATGCAAGGTATATTATTACGAAGAGTTGAAAAGAGAACGAGTCATCGAATTGTGAAGAGGAAGTTTCTTGAATGATTTTGCAAGGGAACATCTCACTGTAAATCTTTATTCATGATTTTCGTAAGCCACAAATAATTTATCACAAGGTCCATCGCTAATTGTACTTAAATGTACCTGAGGGAAGTTGTCAGTTGTCGGAGTCTGGAAAACACATAAATCGACTTTCTTGCGACAAACAATACCGATTTTGTTTCATTCGAAGTAAACGGTTGTCCTCATTTTTATATTTAGCTCTTCGTATTTGAATACGGCTTTCCGTATTTTTAGGGTCTTTTTGTAGTTCTCAAATTAAACAATAAGAAATACCCTTTTCAGTAATTTTGTTTTTCTGTCATTTTACTCAAATACAAACCACTGCCGATGATATTCATACTAACATCAGTTTAGCGCAATCATTGTGTGTCCTGCTCTGATTATTATGCACTTTCTTCTGCATTTTTGTTGAGCTATAGACTCTATCCTGTTGCTTTGTTCCACTGGAGAGTTTCTTGTCACTAATCCTTTCTGGCCAGCCGGCATTCGATCTTCAGTATGAATTCAGTGAAGGCATTTTGAAGGTATCTTGAACTAGATGATAGTTTGAAACCACATCTGCTACTCTTTTTGAATTTGTGTTCAACAAACTGAGTCTCCGCTGCCAGACTGAGATGAAATCTTTCTGATTTTATGTGTGGACGTCAAGTTAAATACACGTTTCCTTGTGTTTATCCTAGTACTTGAACACACTGCCCTCAACACTCAAATAATTCAAGGCACATAAATCTGTGAACAGTTCTCTCTCATTTCTTCAAGAGACTCGTGATAAATTCCCTTCATGTATCATCTCCTCCCAGTTCGGAATTCATATCGCTCATATTGACTTTTGTGTCTCCATTTGAGAGGTTGTCCATTACTGTTTGTATTTAACCACATAAGTCTTCTTTCTGTGTTGTATGTATCCCTGTGTGTAGCATAGGATAACTGTAAACCTCATTCATTTTCATTTGAATGTTATGATCCTGGGTGAAACTGGTTCCAACTATATAAGAAATTTGGTTGCAATAGGTGACATCATGATAGCTACACCACCTCTGAGTGTGCTGTTGGCTATTTTTTAGTTGATAGGAGTAGAAAACTGACTCTGCAGTAGACAATTTCGATGTTTCACATTTATTCAATTTCATGTCGCACATTACCAACACTTCTATGCAATATCTTCCCATTTCTTTGGAATACTGGGCACCCTTCTAATCTGAGTTCGTACGTCGTACGGACATTACACGTCGTCATTCTTATTCTTGCTTTCATTGACAGAAGACACACTAGCTGACTGATGTTATTTTGCATCTGAGTTCATTCTTTTAAATATCTGTAGCCTTTTGGGGTGGAGAATATAGCCTTCGGAGCGTTATTACTGGTAGCGGGCTGATAAACTATTCAGGCGCAAATTTATAACTAAGCTACATCTCAAAGTGAATAATTCATACTTCAATCACCTCCTGGTTCTTTCAGGATTTTCTTAAATTTCGAAATTGGCAGAAATGGAGCTTTCATGTAGAATAAGGTTGTTAACTAATTTATCACAGTGTAGTCATTACTGGTGTGATGTCGACTAGATGAAAGACAAACCTACCTGGAATTGAATTTAAAATATGAAGAATTCCTTATTTCTTCACTGAAGCCGAAGGTGGTATTCACATTTTGTTTATTGATTTTCAACCTTCCTTTTAATCCTAATATTTATTGTTATGTAAAAGACGACAGGGGAAGTTTCGAGAGGACGGCAGTAAATGGGAATCCCATCTCCGACAACTTTCAACACCCTTGTGATGTTTATTTTCAGAAATACTTAACGTAGCTCTGAATGAATTTCTTATTATTTCAGTAATTCATCCACATACAGTAAAAGAAATGAAGCTGTAAGTTTGCTTGTTCCACTTTTCTTCTCATAAATTCATTTTTCGACAAGGAATAGATTGTAACACTTTAAGTCATCAATAGCCTTATTATGTGTCAATATTGCTAGTAATTGTGTACGATAAATAATCAATTGTTTGTGACCGCAGTGACACAACAATAAACATCTTTCGATATAACATACTGACACTACAAAGTGAAATCATGTGTACTTTCAAATTGCACATGGTTACGCAACATTATTTACTCAACAGACAGAAGAAGCCAGTATCACAACCATATGACTCTGCAGCAATGATTCACTTGTTTTGGAAGCGAAAGCAGGAAGTATGTATGCACATAGCTTCGTATGATCTCTCACCCCTTCGCCATATCCTACCTAGTTTGAAAGGTGTACGTGATCGAATTGAAAATTTCCCTTTGCTTCTGATGGACACCCTATTTATTTTCATGTATACAAAGATACTATCTTAACCACGAAGTACTTGTCCCCGAAGATTTGACTATCACATGAACGATATGCGCGCTGCATTAGGTATGGTTGGAATAGTTCAACGTGTGACACAAATAATGATAAAACGGAAAGGTTCCATTGGAAACTGTGTTCTCTCATTCCAGTCAACAGTGTACAAGGCGCTTACGTCTGATAGTATTTTAATTACCTGTTGCATATACAGGCGCATTTCAACAGTCGTCACTAAGATGTGTACTTTTCAGGTGATGAAGCTTCTTTGAAGTCAGAAATACTCAAATGGTCTTAAAGCAAGCTACAGCGGTTTTCGCATGTGTTAAAAATCTTACAAACTAATTTTGTTTCAGAGTGCATTGCTATTACGTTTACTATTATTAAAATAACCATTGTCACATCAATTAATAAGAGTGAGTGTCAGTCACTCCCTTATTTAACTCATAAATACGTCAGTATTGTGAAAATTCAACGAAATAATTGTTTACGGAATTCTATGAAATTCTGATTTCACACGGTTTATAAGCTGAAATGACTTTTATATGTATAAATCGCTATTTCTTATCCGTTTGCTTATAGGTCACATTGGAGGAATCCTTAATAATTTCATCTTTTGATTTATCTTTCCACATCTTATTGACTGCCATAACACCAAAAAATAATTTCGATTTCCACTGACTTTTCAGTTGCCTCCACGTAGTCATACCAATGCAGACGAACAGGCTGAATGAACATTATACTACTCGAAATAATGATAATTACCTTTTGTCAGCAACTATTTGTATTCAAGTTGTGAAGATTGTATGCTTAGATCAACAGTCATAAAGAATAAAACCTCGCGCTTTTCGTCTAAAATTACGAAGACTTACGCGTAAAATGATGTGAAGATCCAATTGAATTTGCGTGTTCAGTTTCACACTTTTGGTTAGCAGATACTAACACAATGGTCAGATATTTTATTCCAAAAGTGAAATGATATGATGCGAACTCATGACATCTACCCTGAAGCAATAAACACAATGAACGTAATTCAGTGATGCGTTTTGTACAACAAAAACTAATTTAGACACGAGAAAATGTGAATAATGAGACGCTTTGGAAACAGAATAGTATTTATTGACTGATAAATGTGGAAACAGCCGCAGAGTTTTTTAGGATGTCTCCATTTA